TATAATATACTATATATAATATACTGTTAGCATAGTAAACAGATATGCTATAGATACCATAAGATTCCTGAAAATTAATGAGTTTCTTTAGCCTGCAAAGCTTATATAGAGTCTTTTTTCTGCTCACATACCTTTATTTAAAATAATAAAAAATAGCTTCTAGCCAAGATTCATAAAAAAGCAAAGACCTTGGGGTGTAGCAACATTTATTGATCTATAATTCCTCTGGCAAAACTCAATTACCAAATCTGCAACATATTTAATGAGCTAACTTGCATGCCCTCAGGCAGTGTATTAACAACAACAATTAAGCAAACGGCGTGCGTTTTTACAGCTATGTATAAAGCGCAGTCAAGCATTTGTGCGGAGGCGCTGGCAAGGTAAAGGCGAGAGGAGAGGCGTGTCAGGCAGGTGGGCGGGCAGTCAGGTAGTCAGGCAGGCGAACCGAATCACTGTTGCGACTGTGTGATTCATGAAAAGCAAACCTCAAGAAGGGTTCTACATGCGTGGCTTTGGCTATAATTTTTTAATTAAAGCAAAGCATTTAGCTGACAGTCTGAGTTTTATGCCTTCGACCTTAACGCCATTGTCAGCCATTGTTCTGGGCGACAGCCGCCGATGCTGTTGACGTTGCCGATGTTGCTGACGTTGCTGATGTTGCTGTTGATGTTTATGTTTCTCGCATATTGACCATAATTAATTTATGAACCAAACAAACTTCCTTCCTGCCTTCCGCTACGCATGCGGCTGAGGTGTTGGCCGATGCATCCAGGCTGAACAGAGCCCAAGGTTCTCGTTATTATTTGACCTTCCAATAATGATTATATTGAATATTTATCTTTGCAGCTTCGACTAGTTGCGTGTGAGACATGAAGCTGTGCAGATTAGCGGGCTATTTGCTGCTGCTGGTGCAGCTGCTGTGGGTAAGTCGAGAGGCCAAAGGCAAATGTTCTCGGTTCTCAATCTGCCTTTCACTATTGCGCCAATCGAGTTTGTTGCCTAAGTCTTTTGTTTACCACTGCTGATAGGCAAATCATTTGAACGAAAAAAAAGAAGAAAAACTAATCTATTTAACAGTTAAACTGCATTCTAAGAACGAACTTCCTGATTATGCTAAGCAGCCATACCGCACATGAACCGTAACCAAATCGCGTTGGCCAATCGCCCCGGTCTAACGGATATGCTTGGCCATATTGCGTAGCTTCCCAGTTCAGCGGAAGAGATGGCGTTGCACAAATTATGCGGCCTGCCTGCCGCATCATTTCTTAATCAATGATGCAGCTGTTTTCAAACGAAAGACTTAAGACACAAACTCGCTTGCTCTGACTTATGGTAATTGTGCATACTCTGTTTTGCTGCCGCAGCCACAGCCCAGCCGCACCATCGAGCTGAGCACCGACTATGCCATAGTGAGCAAGGCAGCGGTGGCCACCACCACAGCACCACCGCCGACGCCAACGTCCGCTGCACCGCCCGGACGCAGCTTCAAGGGTCGCATACAGACGACAACGCCACGCAATGCCTCGAAGCGGCAGGCTCGTCCGCTGGCTAGCAGCACCTCAGACGAGCCCCAGCAGCAGCTGGTCGCCATTTCATCGAAATCGTACATCTCCGGTCCCACCACACCGCCCTCCAAGCTGGCCAAGCGCGCAGGACTGCCGCCCCAGAAGAAATTCGCCAAGGATGTGCGCAATCGCAGCAGCCTGGCCGTGGAGCGAAACAGACTGCAGCACGAGGTGGTGAGTGGCTGAGGATGGTAATGAAAGAGAGTGGGGTAACTAGCACGGGTTATATATTTTCATGGCAGCCCGATCATGTGCCCGACTCCTCTGGCTATGTGCCACAGCGCATTGGACATCCCGTGCATCTGGAATACGGCTCCACTGGCGTCGACTCGAGCGGCGCTCCAACAGGCAGCGCGGGCTATCATGCGGCGCCCTACGAGGGCAACAAGTGGCACGAGGAGTACTGGGAGCAGGACTACTCGGGGCAACAGTACACGCACAACAGCACACGAGTGCAGCGTAAGTGCCTCTACTATCTATGTATATCTAAATATAATCAAATTTATATCTTTTGTCCGGCAGATATCGAAGCTGAGTGTCAGGATGATTACATGAAGATACGCATTGGCTTTAATGGCTCATTCAGTGGCTTAGTCTACTCCGCTGGCTATGCCTACGATCCCGATTGCATGTACATCAATGGCTCTGGCCGGGACTACTATGAGTTCTATATACAATTGAATCGCTGCGGCACGCTGGGCAAGAACTCCTTGCAGGAGGAGAGTCGCAAGAATCCCACGGTGCGTATGCTTGATCTCTGCAGTATATATGTCTTATATATAAGTGTATTCATTGCAGAACTTTATGTGGAATACAGTTACCGTGCAGTATAATCCGCTCATCGAGGAGGAGTACGACGAACATTTCAAGGTCACCTGCGAGTATGGCTATGATTTCTGGAAGACAGTTACATTTCCCTTTTTGGATGTGGAGTAAGTTGTTGATTTTGATTTGTAAAAGTGAGAATTTAGATAATATATGGATGAAAGTAAAGTTGGTGGAAGATTTAAATATACATTGCATAGTGGGATTGTCCCAGCCATATGAAGTTTGTCTAGTCGGTTGCTCTAATGTAATTATCTACTTAGTTTTACATGTAGTTAGCCATTGAGTCAATTTCTGACTACAGTTACAGATAATCTACTAGTATGGTTACTCGATATACTACAATATCGTAGTAGACTATTCCGTAGTCCTTGAGTGTCTGAAGGTTTCTTATATATCTCTCTCTCTCTCTCTCTCTCTCTGTCTCTCTCTCTCTCTCTTTAAAAATTAGCTTATACAGTTCTTTATATAATACCTTTACACTTTTACAGAGTTGCAACGGGAAATCCTGTAGTCTTCACTCTCAGTCCACCTGAATGCTATATGGAGATCCAGAATGGCTATGGCATTGGTGGACCGCGTGTGACCGGTCCAGTGCGTGTAGGCGATCCCCTGACGCTCATCATCTATATGCGCAGCAAATATGGTATGCATATTTTATACAACTCTTATGTTTGTATTAAAGTATTTTCCTTCAATGCTCCCCCTCTAGACGGCTTCGATATAGTGGTGAATGATTGCTATGCGCACAATGGCGCTAATAAGCGCATTCAGCTGATTGATCATCAGGGCTGCCCCGTGGATGACAAGCTCATCTCGCGCTTCAGGGGCTCCTGGTCGGACTCGGGCGTGTTCGAGACGCAGGTGTATGCATATATGAAAACTTTCCGCTTTACGGGTTCGCCGGCGCTGTACATTGAGTGCGATGTACGCATGTGCCATGGACGCTGTCCGGTAAGATGATGGCAGAGCAGGTTTTCAATATAGATGTACTTACCTCTTTTTTCATTCATTCACAGAGTCAGCCCTGTCACTGGCGCAATCTGAAGGCCGTTACCAAACGCGACACGTCCAACATGACAGCCACAAATTTGTCGCTGCCGCCGCTATCGGATGCAGAAATCGAAGCCACTGAGAGTCCGGCGCAGGCTTCGCTCTCGGAGAACGTGAATCTGTTTCAGTCGCTGCGCGTGCTGCAGGAGGGCGAGTCCGATGGCGACGATGTCTATGCGCATCGGCAGGCCAAGCCACAGTTGCCGCATCAGACCTGCCTGAAGACCTCAACCTTCTCGGCTCTAACGGCCAGCTGCTCGGCGCTGCTTTGTGTGCTGACTGTGATGTTGTTCATAGCCTGCTCTCGACTGAAGCGACGCAAGCAGTCCACGCTGTACGACTCCTATATAGCGCATAAGGGTCAGATTGATTGACGGATGATTGACATGCTTGAATATGCTAATTGATATGGCTGGGTAGTTTAGGGTCTGCTGGAGTTTTGTAAATAGTTTTTATTGCATACAAAATAAGAATGTACCAACGAAGTTTTGTTCGCTCATAGTTAGCTGTCGGTCTTAAAATAATAAACAATTACATTTAACAGTGATTTGTGTTGGTTTTTTACAGTTACTTATAAATCATACTTAGCTGCGCTTAGCGTGCATTGAGTTGGAAAAAAGTGTTGCCTGCTTTTGTGCGCATGCTCTTAATGCACTTTTAGCTGGCGAGGTTAATTTGTACAACATTTTTAATGATTGTTAATTATTTATTTTTGTGTCAATTCCTACATATTTTAAGCCAGTAAAATAAAATTTCTGAGTTGCTGCATTTGTGTTGCTAAAAATGATTCCTTTATGTGCAGATTATTCAGTTTTTGCTTGGGCCATAAACAAAGTAAAAAATCGTTGCCTACTTTCAGGCAGTTCGTTAAATTTATTTATTTGGCTAGACACCGGAGCAGACTAGCGAGAAGATTGCTTCCTGCGAGACCACTAAGGCGATTAAAACGCTTGGGTTTTGCCAAAAATATTAGATAAGTCGTTTAGGGATACTTGTAAATATATATTTGTAAGTCCTCCTGAATACATCAGAAGGTTAGGTTCTATATAAATAATCTAATTGTGTTGTTAAGGTACTAAACTTGCATTGTACAGATTCAGCGCTTAAAATATATATACAAACAAAAAAAAAAAAAAAAAATTTGCAGTGCGCCAAATACGAATAATTAGCAAATCATGAATGAAAAGCTATGTTCATTTATATTTTAATTTTTTTATTAGTCAAGTCTTTATACATTTTTTTTGTTTTTTTTTTTTTTTTTTTTTTTTTTTTTTTTAAGCGCTGCCCAAGCTTAATAAAAAGTATTGCCTACTTTCAGGCAGTTCAATTATTCGCTGCTCTACTGCGTGGCAGTTGCAAGATGGCGTTCACTTGAAAACCTATTAATGCTGTGGCATGTGCCACCCATGAGGAAGCAATAAGGCAGCTAGCTTGTGTCACCTGCTGCACTTCCTCATTGGCATGCCCCCCTTAAAATGAGCTGCCCCGTAACAGAAATGCACAAGTTTTTGAGCGTGTGTCAAATCGTGTTCGATTTATGTGCCAAGCTGTATTTTAACCATTTCGTTGTGGGTTATTTTTTGTGTGACTGTTGCTGCTGCAGTTGCTGTTGTTGTTGCAGTTATTGTTGGTCGTGCGCTTTGCTGCATGATTTTCGATCATTGTTGTTGCTGCTGTTGGGTTTGACACAAATTTTGAGCGCTGCGGCGCGCCGCAAAACATTGCCCAAAGTGTTAATATGGTTGAGGACTTTTAATATTGCCCAACTGCAATAGCAGCAGCAGCAGCAGCAGCAGCGGCAGAAGTAGCAGCAGCAGCATCAACTGACGGTAGACTTTTGCTAATTGTGCAATTTTCGGTGAGTTGCTCATTTTGGACTGCTTTTCGTTGTTTTTTTGTTTTCKTTTGTTTTGTTTTGTTTTCAGTTTCTATATTTTTCTTTTGTATTAATATGCAGTTGCTGTAGGCTAGAGTCTTGGTTTATGCGCAAGAATCTTTGGTGTAAAAATTAACACGAACTCATACAAGTGTTTTGTCTGCAAGTGTGCCTGGCTAATTAATTTATTTAGCTATGAGAAGCAAACAGACACCGAATACAGCACAAAAGGCAGTCTAAATGTTTATGGTATCACATTACGTTTCCATTAACGCTTCGCAAGTTATTAATTATTATATTCGCACACACACAATTTGCATAGAATGAGGCATGCACAATTTAGACATTATAAACATACATTTGTGTCTATATTTATATTTGTCTTATGCTTATGATTAATTGCTTTTTTTTTCAAATCGAATGAGCCAAGCGGATGCTTTACCAAATAATTAGGCAATCCATTAAAACAAATTGCTGTCAATCGAAAAGATGCTCCAAAAAAACGTAGAAAAAAACTAACAAATGGTTCGAGGCATTTCAAATTTCTTGAAATAATATTTATTTAACTTTAACAACTTCATATATGATAAAAAGATTAATTAAAATTGAATTTGTGAATTTTATAATTTTATTTTTATTTTTCATTCTGAGGAATCAGGTATTTAGTTACTGTATATCTCATTCAAGCTTTGGAATTCGCTTGCCTTTTTTGTTTTTTTTTTTTTTTTGTCATGAAGCGTCAACAAACTAAAGTTTATGATGAGCTCTTTGCATATCATTTGTGCTAAATATGCTCCAAAAATATTTAAAAAACAAAATAAAAATAAAAAGTTAAACCTAAATTGTTTGCTTAGGTATGCATAACAGTAAAGCTACGCCCAGATTGTTAGGTAAGCAGATCTGTGTACTTTTGTAGGCCATCTGCGGCACGTCTCAACCTTGAAAGCAGCTGGCATCCCGAAAAGTGTTTCAATCGAATGCAGTCAATAATTAAGTAGAAAATTTTGATGGAATAGCTATAAAAAAAATATTAATATCATGTAATTTGCGTTGGCGTTGCAAACGTGATTTTTATCAGAGTAAAAAAAAACTACAGACGGCAACTGCAACTGCAACTGCAACTGCTGCTGCTGCTGCTGCTGAAAAAAAAACTGCTGCTGCTGCTGCTGCGGATGGTGATGATGCTGATGATGTGTGGTGACAAAAAAAAAACAGCCAAATTGCGCCAACTACAACAAAAGCTAAAGATTGAGTTTTTATGCGCAAAAAAAAACCTTAGCGTTTGTTTCTCTTTTTGCTGATGCTGGTGCTGATGCTGATGCTACCTCTGGCAGAGTCCAAGTTGTCTTCGTTTGTTCATGTTTGTGTCTTTGTTGTTGTCGTTGTTGTTGTTGCTTTTTGTTATGCGGCACGTTCGTGGCCTGAGTCTTTCGTTTGCATTGTATTGCGCTGTCATGCGCTCATATGAAGGCATCAACAATGCAAAAAAAAGCTTTCATTACCAAACGAAAAAAAAACGGCTTTAGATGGCATGCATTAAGTTATTTTTTTCCCTCTTCTTTTTTATACAAAAAAAAATTTTTCTCCAGGCGTATCATATGTATATTTTTATTTCTTAAATACATTTTTAAAAAAAAAATCTCCAACAAATTGTACTGGCATCTATCACTGCCTGCATGCGGAAGGGGTTCTTGCAATTAAAAGCTAGTCAAGCGAGCGCAAAAGCGATTGCAGCCATTAACTTATATTACCAAAAAAAAAGAGCCTGTTTGTTGTGGACCACTACGCGACATGATAAAATTTATTGATTGAAAAAAAAAAAATTTTGATTTATTTTAGTTTATATAATGCAAAATATATGAAATTAATTTACAAAAAAAAAATAATTAATTTTTATTCATTTATTAATTTTTTTGTATTGGTAATTTAGGTTTTAAAAAAAAATTTTTTTTTTTTAATTCTA